AAAGGCAGAGCAGAGTGGCCAGACAGCCATGTCCAAAGTCTACCCAGATAAGGCTCAAAGCCTAGGAATAACCTGTCGTTCTTGTCTGTGCCCTCTCTGCCTGTGGCTTCATTCAAAGGCATCTGTTTTTATGAAGGGTAGCTCATGTCTGTCCTGGAATGATCTTAATAGTCTGTTTCCTGACTGTAGAATTTTGGTAGCCCACTGCCTTCCTCCCCCGCCCCCAGGTCTATTTTTAAAACCATTTCTTTTTCTCTGTTTCTTCAGTCCTACTTAGTGTTTCTTAGTCTTGAATGCTTTGTGACTCACAATGATTCACTCCACTACAAAGAGAGCTCCTTCCATAGAGCTTTCTTGTGGGGGCCCACAGAGGTTTCCTAGTGAGATCTGAGCTTGCTTTACCTAGCAGGGCTGTATTAGGGGATGGCTTGACCATGGGCATGGTTACCAGATATTTGGAAGGGTCTGCACTTGGCTGTGCTAGGGGGAGATCTTTTGCCCAGCCCTTGGCATTCCTATAAAAAGCCCTTTTGAAGAGACAGAAAAGGCTGATGGATATTGGTCCAGGTCCTCCCAAAACTATCCTGTGTTTCTGTCTGTCTTCTCCACATTATCTTTCTAAATATGTCTTATCCCGCTCTCCTCAAGAGTACCCTGGGGAAAAGTGGGAGCTGGCTTCCCACCCTGCCAAAGGAAAAAAAAAATAAAAATGACAAATAAAAAAAAGAAAACTAAAAAAAGGAAGAAAGAAAAACAACATCTCTCCATGGAAGCTGCAGTGTGTCACGGTGTCAAAGTGTGTCACTCAGTCTGCCCTTTTGCCCAAAAAACTTTACTTGCAAAGGTCATTGCAATGAGTCATTGGTCTGGTTCAAGGTCTCTGGCTTCTGCTACACTATCAATACTGGATTCTTGGACTCCTCTCAGATATCCTGCTGTTGCCCTGTGTCATGGAAATCCAGCAGCTTTGATTCTACACCCATGCCGCCAGGGACAGCTCTTCTGCTTGCCCAGGTGAGGAATGGGACCAGCTCTCCCACACTGACCAGGCAGGGTTTGGAGTCAGCTCTCCCCAGTGCCAGCTGGTAAGGGGTGGGGCCGGCTCTGCACAGCTCTCAGACATCAGCCAGGTGGTAGGTAGCCCAGACCAGGGACAGCCCAATGGCCTTTGGTGGTAGCATGGGCCACAGACGAGGACCCAGACTGCTGCTGCTGCTACTGCAGGATCACAGACCCAGAAAAGATTCTTGGTGGTAGTACGGGCCAGGGCATCTCTGTGGCCTTAGGTGGCAGCATAAGCTGCACACATTGGGCTGTTCCTCACCACCCTCGCAACGTCAGTTCTGCTTATCTTCCTAGTGCCCATGCCATTCCGTTTCCCTTTCTCCACCATGAACTTGCTCATCGAAGTGGTGCCCACTCCGCCTGTGCTGCATGGCTGCAGGCAGGGCCTCTCCAGTGTCTCTCACACCCGGCCAGCGCTGCATGGCTATAGGCAGGGATATCTCTGGTGTCTTCTGCCCTGCCTGTGCCACGTGGCTGTGGGTGGGGGCCTCTCCAGTGTCTCTCATGCCCGGCCCATACAACATGGCTGTAGATGGGGGCATCTCAGGTGTCCTCTGCCTCTCTGGGCCTTGCAGTGCCAGGTGGGCCCATGGGTATCTTCCACCCACCCAGGCTCAGCAACACCAGGTGAGCCAGTGGGTGTCTACCTACCCAGGCCTGGCAGTACAGTGTGGTCCTGTGGGTCAGTTTTTTTTTTCCTGCCTTAGTTAGGATTTCTATTGCTATGAAGAGATCCCATGACCACAGCAACTCTTATAAAGGAAAACATTGAATTGGGGTTGGCTTACAGTTTTAGAGGTTTAGTCCATCATCATCATGTCAGGAATGGCAGTGTGTAGGCAGCTATGGTGCTGGAGAAGGAGCTGAGAGTTCCATACCTTGATCCACAGACAACAGGAAATGAACTGACACACTAGGCATGGCTTGAGAATAAATGAGACCTCAAAGCCCACCTCCACAATGATGCACTTCCTGCAACAAGGACACATCTACTCCAAGAAGACCACACCTCGTAATAGTGTGTGGGCCAAGCATCAGACACATGAGTCAATGGGGGCCATACCTATTCAAACCATCACTCTTACCAAGCACTAAGATAATGATGCTCATACTTAAAAAATGGCTAGAAGATAAATTTTATGTATGTCTTATCACAGTTTAAAAAGTTTTAAATATATTTTTCCAAATAAGAATGCCCAGCCACACAACTGTCTTCTTTTTGCTACCCAAAGTATGTGTTCCCTATGGTGGACCTCAACCTCAGCATCTTTCACAGTCTGGACAGGCTTAAAAACCCCCCAAATTGCTACTCCTGATTCTGTTTTTATAGTTTTTTTTTTCATTCTATACTTTATTAAAGCAACAAGAAACCATACCTTCAGTGTTTGACTTGGAAATCTAGAGTTACTATATAAATTTGTTAAATACAAAGTGTTCCCTATATAATTGTAAAAAAAAATCCATCTCAGTTTTCTGTCACTATATAACAAGAACCTCCTGTCTTCCAGTGCTTCCAGTGTACAAAAATATGTTCCTCGGTTTATTTTGGGCCCTCCCTAGAAGTACTTTTGATATCTGTACTTCTACAGTTTATGATAACTTAGATTATATCATATGATAAGATGTTATAGAGTTTTTCATGCTCTTCGCTTCTTGTTGAGCCTTCCTCTTTGATATCCAAATTTTTATTAACCATTGAAGGCAAATTAAGCCTTCTTTTTCTCTCATGTTCTCGAAAAGCCTTCCTGGCTATATAACAGTTACTCAAATATTTTCAGGATTTGTGAAGACAGTTTGGGGCTAGAAAAATATTTTCGACTGACTGAATTGTTCTCCAATGTCATTTCAGTTGGAGAGGGCCTCTTCATGGTCTGATTGAAACTATCAAGTGTGATAGCCTTGGTTTTGTTCTGAAGGGAAAGGGGATAGAAAGTTTGTGGTGCCAAAATCTGTATGTAATCTCCATTGGTGGCATATTTATTAATTTAGTGGGACACATGCATGTGCACACATACACAAATACACATACACACACCTTCCCCTTTGGATGTCTGAAGTCCAGAGTGAGTCTTACTCTGCTAAAGATCTGAGAGCCCTTTATTTCTGGTTGCTCTGGGGAAGTATCAGTTTCCTTCCTTTCCAACCCTGGAAAGCCCTGTGTGCATCTGCAGAGCTAGTTTGGGACCTACCCAGGCTACACAGTGCTTTTAAGGCTGGTGGCGGTAACTTAGGGATACTGTGTCAAAAGAAGGCTAGAAATATAGCTCAGGGTTGGAGCACTTGCCTAGCGTAAGTGATGCCTAAGGTTCAATTCCACTAGTACCGTAAATTAATAACAAATAACTAAGTGAATAACTAAATAATAAGCAAAACAGTGAATGGCCCCACCACTGGTTACCAAGATACTGAATAAAAACCGTTCCCCAAATTCACCTCTGAAAATTCATACTCCACATGATTAAAAAAAAAAACCCAAACTACTGGATCAGGATGTGGTATATAAACAAAAAGAAAATGGTTTTTAAACTTTGAAGGGAAATTATTTCCAATTTAAAATTCTACATACTCACGTCTCAATCAGATGTGTAAAATAGTGATTTTTCTGATATGCAAAAATCCCAGAGACTGCCTAGTATGTTCTCAAGAAGCCATTAGGAATTTTGCTTCATGAAGAGATCTAGAAATGAGAGACATGACGCAGCAGAGAAGAAAGACTAGCAGGGATGGATGACAGGCACACAGCCAAAAGCAACATGCTCATCCTGGAGCAGGAAGCTGGATATTCCCAGGGACGGCTGCTGACTGGTGGTTTGGAATAAGAACATTTACATGGCTTACAGAGTGTGGCCTGTGACCTTAAGTGTACCTTGAAGCCTAGAATACCAAGCCGAGGTGGGGAAAACGAGTCCAGGAGAAGTCATTTACTACCTCTTGCTACTAAGGAAATAAAATGCTATACATCAGCCATGAATAATGTTCACAAGTTCATAACAATGCAGTATGACAGGTTTATAGCTGTGTTAACACCCTGTTGGGAGGATGAAGGGTAAAAAAGAATGGAGCGGGGGAGGGATGAAGAGGGAGGGAGGAGATACAATCTACTTTTCCATAGTAGAAAGCCAGGAGATAACAACCAAAACAAAACCACCTTGAGATAATGGATACACACCTGTTTAGAAATGTGGAAGCAAACCGGATGGAGAGGATGGATGCTGGAAAAACTGAAAATACCTATCACTGGACTGTGACCTTCTACTTAAGAAAAAGCTAGACAGGTTACAACAAAAAGGGATTCAAATAAAGTCACACACACACACACACACACACACACACACACACACACCCCTCTCGTGTGTATCAAGACTGTACCAGCAGTCTGAGTTCACAGCTGTTTTTGAGGTAAGGTCTGAGGACTTGGCATTATTCCACATGGGATTCTCCTCACTCCCGCGTTCTAGATCATCTTTAGGGTTACCTAGGAGTGAGATTGAGACGTTGGAGAAATTAATTAACTTTCCCAAGTCTATTCATCTGGAAACCGAAGACAATTATAAACTCAGAAAGGAAGAACGGTGTGAAGGTGTGAAGGGGAACTTAGCTTAAGCTTGCTTGGTGCTTACGTAGTAACAGATGGGTGATTTCTAGTTGTGTGTGTGTGTGTGTGTGTGTGTGTGTGTGTGTGTGTGTGTGTGTCCTGAAAACAAACAAATTTCACCCATATTTGGCTCTTGGGAAAGAGGACATCTGTCAAGGGTGTTGCAATTTGAACCAAAAAAGTTTTTTTTCCTCTTCTGTATGTAACCTTCACGTCCTTCAAACTCCTATCTCCTTGGGGGCCCCTCCTTGAGGTGCCTTTTACCAGACGATGCCCCATGGTTAGTGTCTGTCGGAACAGAAGAGGAAAGGGGATGGAAGGGGGCCTGCCATGGGTTAGGATGAGTTTCCTGCTAGCGCTCAGCTAAGGGGAACCGCCTCCGGGGCCGGAGAGAAAGAAAAAAAGTGGGAGGAGTCCAGGAGGTCCTTGGTTGGAAGACTCAAAGTCTCCTCGATGGCCGCCCAGGGATGCGCGTTGTCTCTGTGGCTGTGGCTGTCCCTGCTGCTGCCGCTGCTGCTGGGGGCGAGAGCTGCCGCAGCGCGGTGGAGCGGGGAGGGCACCACTCCGCATTTGCAAAGCATCTTCCTGGGCCGCTGCGCGGAGTACACCACGCTGCTGAGCCTTCATCCCGGGTAAGCGCTAAGCCAGAAAGTGAAAAGGGAGAGAGAGGGGGGACTTTGGAAAGTCAGGCAGAGGGACTAACGGGTCTCCATGCAGGGATAGGTAAGCGATTCTCAGGGCCAGGGGCCAAAGTGCAGGGGATCTCCAGGTCCAGGAGGCGACTGCGGATGAGGTTGTCCTGCGGTTGTAGAGGTGAGAGAGGTGCGGGTGGGAGCCGCAAATACCAGTCTAGAGGTGAATTTGAGTGACTGCCTCGCTAGCCTGCAGCCTGCAGAGGTCTCTAGCAGCAACTGCTGAAGTGCGCGCCCTTTGGCAATTTCAGGTCCTCTGCTCTAGAGGACTTAAGTTTTTTCCTCCTTATGGCTGAAATCCTTACGTCCTTCAAACTCCCATCTCCTTCAGGGTCCCTCTCAAGGTGTCTTTTGCCAGACGATGCTCCAAGTTTAGTGTCTGTCTGAACAGAAGAAGAGAGGGGACGGAGAGGGAGCCGGGCGGCATTAGGATGAGTGTCTAGAGCACTCTGGTTTCCTCTGTCTTGCGCATATTGTGCTTCCTACTGAAATTTTTTCCTCCTTTGGACCCGCTTTTTGTGTTGTTATACTGTCCCTTTCTTGTGCCAGTTGTACTTAATTGTTATACATTTCAATCAGAGAGGGGAGGAGAGAGAGAGAAGGAGGGAGGGAGTGAGAGAGAGGGAGGGAGAAGGAGAAGAGAGAGAGAGAGAGAGAGAGAGAGAGAGAGAGAGAGAGAGAGAGAGAGAGAGAGAGAGAGAGAGAGAGAATAACATAAGGAGTCGAGCTAGTCACCACTTACCAAGAGGAAGAAAAAGTGACCATTGCATAGGAAGTGATTTTGAAACGAGGTGGCTTGCACCTCAGGAGTGAAAACTGGCCCTGGAGGACTTTCTGCCTCAGCAGAAGAAGCCACTCCCAGCACCTGCCATCCACCCTGTCGTCCCAAGTCTTGCCTCCTGACCTGGCCTCAGGGGTGCAGAGACCTGCCCTCTAATGGACCTGAACAATGGGCCCCACTCTTGTGTCTAAATGAATAGACAAAAGCAAGAGATGTGGCCCTTGATCATACACACACACACACACACACACACACACACACACACACACACACAAACTCACAACATCTGAAAACCAGAGTTTATTGACATTAAAATTGTCACCTTCTGCCTTTAATCTCAGCACTTGGGATGCAGAGGCAGGTGGGTCTCTGAGTTCAAGGCCAGACTGGTCTACAGAGTGAGTTCCAGGATAGCCAGGGCTATACACAGAAACCCTGTCTCAAAAACACAAAAACAACCAACCAATCAACCAAACAAACAAATAAACAAACAAAAACACAAAACAAAACAAAAAAGAAAAGGAAAGGAATTGTCACCTTCTAGTTGTGCTTCTGTCTGTGGCCTTTTCTGCTTATGTGGTGAACCTGGGGAAAAGCATGTTACTTAGATGGGAGAACAACTCTGCTTTTCCTCACAGTGGAAGCGTTTCACAGTGCATCGCAGTGCATTTTGGGTTTTCTTTTTATAACTTGCACTGTGTGTGGGGTGTGTGTGTGTGTGTGTGTGTGTGTGTGTGTGTGTGTGTGTGTGATGTGCTTGTGCCCACACAGAGGCCAAAGGGGGACACTGGGTGTCCTGCTCTATAATTTCTGGCTCTATCATCTTCTAGTCTGAAAACTAGAGCTAGCCTGGCAGCCAACCAGTCCCATCACCCTCTGGTTTCCTCCTCATGCAATGCTGGGGTTTGAGGCACAGGCAGCCACATGGATGGGGGTGGGTGTTGAACTCAGGTCCTCATGCTTACACCACAAGAGCCTCGCCTTCTGAAGCATCTCCCCAGTCCTGACTGGCACTTCTGCACAGGAACAAAAACTGCACAGCCATCTGGGAAGCCTTCAAGGTGGTGCTAGACAAGGACCCCTGCTCTGTGCTTCCCTCAGACTATGACCTCTTCATTAACCTCTCCAGGCATGCCATTCCGAGAGACAAGGTGAGGATACCTACCTCAGATATGATGACCAAAAATGTAATTTTTAAGTTAATGCTGCATTTTTTTTCTGCTTCTTTGTTGGTAAAAAGCAGATGCATATTTAAAATTATACATCTCTCAGAAGTTTAGTGAGCTAGTTGATGAACTCAATAAATAACTTACTGGAATCCTTCTGTGTTCCCGGTGTTTTATTAAGGGTTAGGGACGCCAAAAAAAAAAAAAAAAAAAAAAAGATCTTATAGCCTTTCCAGTCTACAAAGAGACTGGACTACTGAGGACCAGATGAGATAGTCACCGGGAATATTGTCACCTGTGCTGTATGAAGACACTATTTACCCCGGAAGGTACCAAGTGTGCTGTAAAGAATGCGGTGTTTTGAATCACCGTGCACTCTAGGAAGGGCAGTACACGATTGCATACCATCCTAATCACAGCTACAGCACAAGGCCAAAGGCTTCTGCTCCTATTTTCCAAACCAAGGCACAGGAAGATGAAATGCCCTGGTCAAAATCATACATCCAGCATGGGACAGAGCTAGGCTTGCAGCCCTGGCCCCTTAATCATTTGTAATGCAAGGCTCTTGACAGTGGTTCATGTGTTTTATACCACTGGGAATATATGTCATTATTGTCTATGTCGGTGGTTCTCAAGCTATGGGTGGCAACCCCTTTAACGAACTTCTATCTCCAAAACATATTTACATTACGATTCATAACAGTAGCAAAATTACAGTTACAAAGTAGCAATGAAAAGAATTTTGTGGTTGGGGGTCACCACAACAGGAGGAACTGTATTAAAGGGCCACAGCATTAGGAAGGTTAGGAACCATTGGTCTACGCAGTGTGTTTGCAAGACAGGGAGGAGAGAGGCGACACACTTCAACCGTGCAGTAGCAGCAAGGAAAGCAGTAGGCTTGCAGTGGATCCCGATTCCACGCGGAGTGGCTGCTGACTTGTCTTGATGACGACCGCAATGTGCTTTCATTTTCTCTCACATTTTAACTCTTGGCTGTTTCTCATCAGTCGCTGTTCTGGGAGAATAACTACCTACTCGTTGCCAGCTTTGCAGAGAACACCCGTCGCCTCACGCCCCTGTGTGACGTTCTGTATGGCAAGGTTGGAGATTTTCTGAGTTGGTGTCGACAGGAAAATGCCTCTGGTAAGACTTTTGCACATGTCACCACAAAGTAACAGTTCCTCTACCTGCGAATTGACCTTGGATGCTGGATATTTTCATCTATGTTCATCTCATTTCGTCCTTTCCAAATCCTCTGAAGTAGGTAGCATCTATAGTAGTGGATAATAACAATAATGGGCAGAGTGTACTTACCTTTGCTGCAGGCTCTTGCAGGTCTTTTAGACACATTAATTCTAGAATCCACACATTATCCTCTATGATCCTATCATTATTCCTAATTTGGCAAGCGTGGAAACTGAGGCATGGCATGATTAAGGGAGTGGCTTAGGGATGTATATCCAGTAAGCCCTGTAATCTCACAATCAGACCTTGGAGCCTATGATTCCAATCCAGCAGGACTCTGCCTTCATCTCTTTATTTTCCAGAGGGGAAACTGAGGCTTGAAGAAGGTAAACGCACTATGCACATTGTTCAGAACTCACACCAAATATGGAATTAGCAAATACTTTAAATGAATGCGTTTCCGATATGAAAGGCATTTGTATACTTTTTTCCCAGGACTTGATTACCAGTCTTGTCCCACATCAGAAGACTGTGAAAACAATGCTGTGGACTCCTATTGGAAAAGAGCATCCATGCAGGTAATCCTGGGATGGGTGAGTGCGTGTTGAGCATGTGTGGAATCTATGGACTGGACCCTAGGCTGTTACCTAATTTCTGTGAGTCCTCCTCTCCACTTTAATGATTTCTCTGCCTCATTTCCTTTGCTCCACAAAGTTGTGAGGGTATAAGGAGATAAAATAATAATGCAGTGACTGGTGCAGAGAAAAACGCTTCGCAAATGTTAGCTATATATACATGGGGATAGTGCATTATCAGTATTTCTGTCTCACCGTGATTATGTGTGGTGATTCAAAGCACTGCAACTTCCTAGTGCTGTGTAAAATAGGAGTAATCTCTACAGAAGAGCCTGGGACACCGGAGACTCGGATATGGGTATTAGAAATGTCCACAGAGTATCATTAACGGGAGAAGAGTCGGTAGGTTACTAATAAGCTGCCGCCACAGAAATGTTCCTAAGGCATGTCTGTATCTCAGAGGATATTGCCACAGAGTTGATGATGCTGTCAGTAGCTATAAAACAATGTCATTTATAGCTTACTTTCCCTGCCTTAAGCATTGGAATAAAGATTAGAAATAAGGAGGGTTAAGTCTATAGCTAAGTGCTGATGATTAACTGTCAATCATGCTGATCAAGAAGCAAGTAAAGGACAGGATACTTCCAGTCCTCCCCTTTCAGAAGTCATGTGTCTCTGCCTCCCATCGTCTACTTTGCTCTCCAGGTGTTCAATGGGTCCACTGATTGGGTGAAGGACTTTGATCAACCCTTCCACCAGGGCTAAGCAAAGGGCCTCCTCCAAGCCAGTGTTTGTTTCTACTTTCCCAGGGCTTCATCTGAAATACAGGCTCCAGGAGCTGCCAAAGTTCTTATTGGAGAGCGGAGGGCTTAGCACCTCTATAGAGGTGTCATATCAACACTCTCTGTAAAAGAACTGTAATGGGCTGGAGAGATGGCTCAGCAGTTAAGAGCATTGGCGGCTTTCCTAGAGGACCCAAGTTCAAGTCCCAGCAACCACAATGGTAGTTCACAACTGTCTGTAACTCCAGCTTTAGTCAACCTGACACCCTCATACATACATGCAGGCAAAACACCAAGGCACATAAAATAAAAATAAATAAATCACAAAAAGAGAGAGAGAGACCTGTAAACAGGTACTAAAACTACATTTGAGCTAGGTACAGGCAGAGGCAAGCAGATCTCTGTGAGCTCAAGGCAGCCTGGTCTACACAGCTCATTCTACGACAGTCAAGGCTACACAAAGAAACCCTGTCTCAAAAAACAAAAACAAACAAACAAACAAACAAAACACAGAAAGGAAGGAAGGAAGGAAGAAAGAAAGAAAAAAGAAAGGAAGAAAGAAAAAAGAAAGAAAAGAAGGAAGGAAGGAAGAAAGAAAGCAAAAAGAAAGAAAGAATTGTAGTACATGCCACTGTGAATCTCCCTCACTTTAAGGTATGTGCTCCATCTGGGTTTTGTTATTGGAAACTAGTATCAGCACCTCCAATTTTTAAGCCCTTAGAATACACTAGGTGGTTGAAGCAGGAGCAAAGCTAATCCAGTCCAGTAATGACAGGGCTGGAACCTTATAAGTAGTCAGTCAATATTGTTGTTAGTATTATTATTTGTGGTGCTGCGGATCAAGCTTAGGGCTTTGCACATGTCAAGTGAAGGTCCTACCATGAGCTGCATCCCCAGGCTAACTGTTGTTATGATTTTAAACATTCCGTCTTGACAGCCTTCAATCCTCTGAGGTAGCTGTTTGTTCAGACTTGGAAAATGAATTGCAAAGAGGTCAAAGGACTTTTCTGAGTTTAAAATTGTAGTAAGCAGGTGAACCAGGACTTGAAAGCAGGCTTTCCAGCTTCAGAGACCGAATTTTTAGCCACAACTTTCTGCAGCTTCATTGCGTGTATACCCACGAACGTTTCAATTCTTTCCCACGGTCAATGCCATCACTGCTGGTGATAGAGAGGGGCAAGGTACAGGAAGACAAGTGAAATCACCAATGATGTTCCTGCTGCCCCAATGCTACCTTTTTAACACAGAGGTTGTCAGATGTCAGCATTTGAAAACTTAACTCCTACTGTCAGTGCCCTTTGGAAGCAGCTGGAGACAAATAGCACAAAACACGTCTCTGCTTCGGAGCACCAGGCATCAGGTGTCATCTTATTAGTGAGTAAACCTGTCCTGTGAGGCTCAGTGACCCATAATTCACCACCACCTACCCTTTATTCTAAAACAGTCATTTTAAGAGGGAAATTATGTGTTCTGAACTAGAGCTCTGAGAATGAGACTACCTACATACCCACTTTTTATTTGTTTATTTAATGATACCAGAAACTGAACTCGAGGCCTATTGCTTGCCAGCATGTCTGAGCTACATATACCCTGAGCCTCGCTCAATTATATTGTGGCAACGTGCATCTTCCGCTCATCTAATCGTGCGCTTTGCTTTGAGTGTAAGCACTCCCTATGATACTGTGTAGCCTCTGCAGATTCTTACCAGCAGCACATTAATAATTAGACTTCAGTGTTGTGTTGGTATGTAGTGGGAACTGTACACCAGTCCCTTGCAGTTCCAAGCTGGTGAGCATGTTTTCATCTTGCAAGCCATGCCACGCTGCACACGCTTGTGTGCAGCGCTTGTGGTGGGACTTGGGGTTGGTCACCAAAGACAGCTGGCTTATTTTCTGCACCTGTGGTTTGTAGTGCTTCATGCAGTTCTTTACATGTGACTGACATGGGCCAATGAGAGGTGAGTGAGAGTGACGTCACTGGCCCTTCTCCCTTCCTGGCAGTTAACAACTTCGCAGGTGTGGAGGCTTCCTCATAGGGAGAACACCAATTGCCAAACCACCAAGAGCCTCTGGTGAGTGTTCAGTGGGAGCATAGAGTGAATCTTTGTGAGAAGCCACTGCAAGGTCGAGGCTGTTTGTCATGTCAGCTCAGCCTAGTTTATTCTAGCTGACATGATGTCATGCATTCCAAATCACATCCTTAGGCTAAGGTACCTAACATGGAATTACTGAGTCTAGGAGTCAGGGACTTTAAAGGTGATTTGCTTCTCCGAATAAACCAATTTGCATCTCTACTAGCCATGTGAAATGCCAAATTTCCCCCATTGAAAACTGTCAATAAAAAAAACAAAACAAAGATCCTTTTAAAACATAAAAAAATAGAATGTGGCTTCATTTTCTCAAAAAACTGTTTCTTCTTGCAGTATTCAAAAGACAGTTCTGGGGTGATCAATGTCATGCTGAATGGCTCAGAGCCCAAAGGAGCCTATCCCGTGAAAGGGTAAGAACTGAAATACCAAGGGCACCATAGATGATACCAAAATAAAAGCTGGAGAATCATCCCAGTCCCACTTTAAAGCTTGCTTTTGTAAAGTCAGGTAAAGTAACACAGTTGAGTGATGTGGTCATTAGAGCCGTGTCTATACAGTTAAACCGTTAAGAGCTACAAACACACGAGCAAGTAACCAAATGTAGAAAGTGAGAAGAGCAGCTGGAGGGATATAGGTCAGTGGGAGTGCTTGCCTTGCACACATAAGGACCTCTGTCTGAGTCCCAGAACCGAAGGGAAAAATCTGCGAGTGTTGGCACATTTGTAATCCATGTGCTGGGGCGGCAGAGACAAGTGGATCTCTGGGGTCACTATTTCAGCCAGCCTAGCCTCCTGGGCCAGTTCCAGGCCAGTGAGAGACTGGACTGCACCTAATTTTGTCCTCTGGCTTATGTAGGTATGTACACACATGCATGTGCTCCCTTACACACACAAACATGTGCATGTACACCAAATGTAAAAAAAGCCCCAGAAACATGTTTGGGGGGTGGAGTGGGGTGGGACAGGGTCTGTCTGAATAGCCCTGGCTGTCCTGGAATTCACTATGTAGACCAGACTGGGCTTAGACTCAAAGAGACCCACTTGCCTCTACTTCCCGAGTGCTGGGTTTAAAGGTGTGCGCCACCACATCTGACTTTCCTAGAAATGTTTAAAAAATTTTATGTCTAAACAAATTAACAGACCAAATGGACAGTTATCATACTGTGTTAAGATGGGAAACGTTCTCCTAGGCTGGAGACGGGGCTTGACATCAGAGAGTTTGCCTAGCATGTACTGGTTCAACACCACGGAAGAACAAAAAAATAAAAATAAATGTCCTTCCTGTCTCCCAGGTTTTTTGCAGATTTTGAAATCCCATACTTACAAAAGGATAAAATCACAAGAATTGAGATCTGGGTCATGCATGATGTCGGGGGACCCAAAGTGTAAGTTATGGGGCTTGAGGTGGTATATAGCTGTGAGGTCTTGCTTTGCTTGGATATGACCTGGCCAGGGCCCTTTTGCACTTAGCTTTAGGGACCCGCCAGCCTTCTGCTTCTAATGTGGCTGGTAGAGAATGATGATGATTGGGAATGCCAGTGCACTCCCAGCCGAAACCATGCTGATCTTTATGAGTGGCATGGGAGCTTTGATAAACCAGCTTCTGACACATCTGTGAGGGTCAAAGCCAGTTTCTTTTTTCTTCTCTCTTGAAGGCTTGATACCTTCACCAGGGTTTTCAAAATCCACCCAGTGCTCTCCATAAAGCAACCACTTCTGCAACTAGGTGCTGGCTAACCAGTGAGGACCAGGACTTTGAAGAACTACAGCTTCTCAGAAGCTATCTGAGTTTACATACAAGCAAGGGTGGAACTCATCTTTTTCATGAATGAACGCCACTGCCGAGCAGCCTAAGATAACGCCCCCACTTGCTTGGCTCCTGGTTTTGCAAACAGTTCTACCCTGTAGCTTAAATAGTGCCAGATAAAAAAGTTAGCCCATTTGGTCCCGAAGCTTGGCGATGAGGCTACACCCTGTTTCAAGACCGTGCAGGAGCTTCAGAGGAGAGCTGGTCTCTGTTCTTCAGAGCCTTGATGCTGCATGGAGGAGAATATTGCCAAACCCTGCGGCCTCATCTCTCTCTGCTTGACTGTGTAGGTACCCAGGAGTCACAGCTCCTGAACCAGAACTTTTCCCGTGTTCTGCTTGAGAGAACATCCGAGAGTGGCTGAAAGATCTTTGGTTGACACTGAAACAGAGTCTACTACGTTTTCCTCCTTCTTTAATCTGTTTGTTTTAAAAGATACATCCATCTGTGTTTTAGGGAATCCTGTGGCGAAGGCAGTGTGAAAATCCTGGAAGACAGACTGGAGGCCCTGGGGTTCCAGCACAGTTGTATCGATGACTACCCGTAGGTGGCGCTGTGTATAACCACTTTGACGGGTTAGAGCGATTCAAAGGGTTGATTTCGCAGGTGTCCACTCCAAAGGCCATGATGGTGACTTCTGAATTGCTTATGGATGTGTGGGCAGGGGGAACCTTCCTGAGTCCATTTCAAGGACAGCTGGAGGATACTAAAAGCAGAAATTTATCATATATCTATGTCCACTTTCTCCCTCCGGCCTTGGTTGATGTGTGATGACTGGAGACCAAGGGCTGTGGTTCCCACATCTTTAGATCACAGTACAGAAGCTACTGAGATGAGTCACAGGGGTTAAATAACTGGCCCAAGGTCAATACTCAAGATCAAAGTTGATTTTTGAGCCCATCTTTGTGTAGCCTTGAAGCATGTATCCCCAAGCACCTCTATTAATGTCCCTTCCTGAGTCAAAACATTGGTATTAGAAATACATCTAAATAGACAATTCTTACTGTATTACAGTTTAATGATAGGGACAGTTGTGGTTACAGATTTCAGAGTTACCACCACTTTTCTCTGGCCCAAGAACTCTCTAGAAAGGCTCTTTCTTCAGTCACCAGGCCGTGCTGTATCAGTCAGGTCAGACCCAGAAGCCTCCTCCCCATCACAGCTGTCCTGGGTCCCAGCCTGGGTCCCTCCCCTCTCCTGGGATCCCCAGTTCACTTTGCTGCTGGTTCTTGGACTCCAAGCCTCACTCAGCTTCTACTGGCTGCTGTTCTGTGTTAAGGCTTTTCTATGGCTCGTGGGTAGCAAAGAAAACTGCAAAGCCTAGGCAAACAAGGGCCAACACAAATGTAGGGAAGGGTCTCCTAACCCTCAAAATTCAGTGCCATCACTTTTAGTCCTGTGTCAGCCAGAGTTCACATCAGGGTCCTTGGTGATGCTGGCGGAGCGTTATTTCTCCATAGACTCTCTCCTCCTGGTTGGTTTCTGTTAAAACCATGTTAGATTGTATTTGGTGAAATCCAAAGCCTGTCTTTGGTAAAAGACAATAACAGCTACATTTATTTTTTGTAAATATGTATGGACAGATGGCATCTGTTGTCCCAGGCACTCATGAGGCCAAGGTGGGAGGATGACTAGAGCCCAGGAGTTCAAGACCAGCCTAGGCAACGTAGTGAGGCAATACCCCAAAAACCACTACTAATAAAATGTGTGTATGTACAGTAGACTTCACCGCAGCGCAGGTGAGTCTAAGCAGGGACCACAGAGCATGTGCCGAGTGACGGTGTACCTCCCCCACGTCTCTCAATTCTTTCCAGTTGTATGATCATAGAGGTGTTGTCGTAGCCTTGTCATTCATATCCCGTGTGTCACTGTCACCTGCTCCTGTTTCCATTGCCGTTTTCCTTCCCTCCTGGTTGCCCTGGAGCTTCATATTTTCTGCCTCGATTGTACTAGACAGTTGAGCATTCTTTGCTGAAACCGGAGCATGGCCATCACCACTCGTGTTTTAAGTCCAACCTTCCGTCCAAAGTACACATCCAAAAGGTGTTCCTAATAAAGTAGGATGTGCAGGCAGAATGGGTCTAGATGAGCCTAAAGGTTCAAGGTTAGCTCTCTAACTCATCATGTTTCCCATGTTATGAGGGCATGGGAAAACCATTGTGGTCAGCTTTAGCGGCAGCAGATTGCAGTTGAAAATAGGACCAACTCCATTGATGGTTGTCGGGTTAAATGACGAGATCTGAATAAAACACAATCAACATTGCTGCTACATAAGTGCTTGATAAGTGCTAGCTCTTGTGTGGAGGGTGTTGAGACAGGGTCTCACTGTGCAGCCCTGGCTTTCCTGGAACTCCCTTTGTAGACCAGGCTGGCCTCAAACTCACAGAGACCTGCCTGCCTCTGCCTCCCTCCCTAGTGCTGGGATTAAAGGCATGGGCAACCACTCCCAACCTACCTGATATTGTTTATAAAGGAGTGGCTTATGGGATCTTCCGAGATGCATGCTGTGTTTCCAGCACTTTTCAGGCACGTCGTAAATGTTTAACGGGTGCAAGTTTTCTGGGTAATCTCTTAAACACTGTTTTCCTCCTGTAGACCGGTGAAGTTCTTAATGTGTGTGGACCACACCACTCACCCGGACTGTGTCATGAACTCGTAAGTAATTGGCTGGAATCAGCAGCACCCAGGTGAACTGCAGTGTGATTCTCCATGCATCTCCTAAATTGTCCACTGCACAGTAGGTTGTTTCTGTACTGCAGCCCCCTCCACCTCCAAGTCTCTGAGCTAGGTCAGTGCAAGTTCCACAGACATCTGCAAGCTGTGCCAGCTCTCTCCAGGCTGCCCAACACCATGCTGGGCCTAGCAACACTTCAGCAGACATTCTAGAAGTGGAGCTGCAAGGGGACCTTGGGACTTTTCCTTCTTAATCCTAGTTTATTTTTAAGTTAATATACATGCTTGAAACAAAATTTGCAATTATAAAAAGGTCACAGAAGTGAACCCTGTTTTTCTTTACTCCTATGCTAGTCAGTTTCCTTACTCAAAGTAGGTAGACCACTGTTTCTATATTCTCGTGTGTCCTTGTAGATTATGACATTCCTGTCATGGCACATGTGTGCATCCATACATCTGCATGGACATATACATTCATGCACGCACACACACACAACACAGACATAGATCTCTTGTATTAGTTATAGTAAGTGATACTACAGATACGATTCTGGGATTTGCTTTTTTCATTTAATAGTATGTCTTGGAGATGTTTCTATACCTTTTTAAGAAAATAAATTTTAGGGCTAGAGAGATGGCTCAGGGGTTAAGAGTACTGGCTGTTGTTCCAGAGGACCTGAGTTTGATTCCTAGCACCCACATTGGTGACTATCTTTAACTCCAAAATATGCCAAACCAACACCTCTAATATAGACTCAGAAATATAGTGCAAAGAGAAACAAGCTGTGTGTTTAATTTGTGGATGGTAATGGGGCAGACAGCAGAAATGGGTCTGAGAAGATGAACTCCAAATCATAACTTCTAGATAAAAAAGTAAGAATTGCAAAAAGATGAGGGGAGAGCCTCATAATTTCTTGCATTTTTCTCTGTGCTATTTCATTTTGTTGAAAATAAATTAAATGTATCCAGATATTAGTTAATTATTTTAAGGCAAAAAAAGTGGGGATGGACCAATTTTACATGATTCAAGTATGGACCTGGACTGAATCAGAAATGCAGCCGTATAAATGTCCAGCAGGGCGAGCCATTGGCTAATAAGAAAAAGGGACTCAGCCTCCTAAGGAAGTCTGTGGGTAAGAATCTGGCCACTAGACCAGAGCAGTAGTATTGTTTCTGAACCAAGATAAGATAGTTTTATAACTTTAAAAGTTCATGTTTTAATTGTTTGAAAATAATTCAGTAATTTCAAGATCAGACTTTCTTTAGTTTAAATGGGATTTGGCCAGGTCTCTGCTGGGTAGTTTAAAGTCAGAACAAGTTTTTCTCAATCAGTTAAACTCTGATGATACACTATTCACCAGTAAGGAACTTGGCTAACACTCTGAAACATTCGTACCACAAGAACTCATACACAAGGAAAAATGAATTGACTCTGTGTGAACCAGCATGAACTATGTCCAAGGGGTGGGGTCAGGCAAAGGAGGCAAATTGCATTGTGTGTATTTACACAAAGAGGTGTGTTCGTGTGTGTAAATGTGTGTGTGTGTGTGTGTGTGTGTGCGCGCGCGTGCGCGCGCCTGCGCCCACGCGTGCCTGTGCTTCCTTGAAAGGACAACTTGAACTATTAGCTGTAATTCTCTGGGAGTAGGGAAATGAATAATTTTTACTTTAGGCCTTATGAACTTTCTGTTCTATCTAAACACTTCTGTAGTGTGCATACATGATTTTGAAAGCAGATGTCACACACTGACATTATCTCTGTTTCCCTTTTTCTTTCCAGAGCCTCAGCATCTCTGCAGAGGGAGAGCCCATCTTTTTATACGACAGGGGATGCCAGCCTTGTCATTTCTCTCTTAGTGGCTTTGACTTCAACTTCTCAAATGTGATTTGAAAATCGCCGTGCGGGTCTAACAGAAGCCAGCCTTGCATCAGCCTTGACCAGTCCACCCTGTTCTGTATAGACCAAGGGAGCCCTGTGTCTAAAGATACTTTCTTCTAGGAAAACAATGTAACCAGACAGTAATCCTACTATACTTATGCTCATGATTCAAGAAATAAGACATTTAGCCAGTCTTGCTTACCAGGCAAAATTTGCTACCACAGAATTAAAGTTATTATCTTTTATTTTGATAATAACACAAACCACTGTGACCTGGAGTGTTATAGAATCTCATATAATTAAATATATTTTTGGAAATATCTGTATTTTCTATTTTCTGTATGTTTCTGTTCCAAAAGACACAATACATGCTTGTTAAGAGCTTCAGATACCTGTACAGTATATATATAATGCAAAGATGTATATATAACGATGTCTTTTTAATGACTACTTATGACAAGGGAACAACCTAAAATGTCAAATACACACATACACACACACACACACACACACACACACACACACACACACACACACACACGGAACTGTTGAGACCAGCTGCATGAGGTTTTGTATATCCATAGGATGGAATATTTATTTAGCAAGTAAAAGTCATGTGCATCACCTGACTGATAAACAGTTAAATAACCTGTGGTGCATCTGTACTGGGGAATATTGCTCAATGATCCAAAGTAACTAGTATCGATGTATGTAATCATACACATGGCATTGTGCTAAGCGAAAGAAGCCAGACCAAAAGGCTGCACACTGAAAGGTAAAGATACAGAATTCTGAAAAAGACAAAGCTATGGGGAAGAAGAGGAATGCAGTGGATTCCAGGGCGGCTGGGACGGGTGTATGAGGAAGTGGGTGAGGCTAAATTAAAGGAGCAGTGAGAAGGACCAAGGTTCAAGGACAGTCTTATGTGAGCCTGGACTTCTCAAAGATCTTAAAGCTGTGTATCAGAAGAGGCAAATCTCACCGGATGTAAATTTAAAATCTCTGTCTCCAGAGAACATTTAGTCACATAAGAAAATGTTAATGAGTGTGAGAGGTGGGATATAAAACTACTCATAATATGATGCAAATGTTATGAAATATAATAGGAATGTAATAAATCCTGTCATGGACGTGTGTTTGTACAACATGCATACACTGGAAATGAATAAAAGAAAATAATCCAAAGGGCAGTGCAGTTATCTCTGGATAGTAACCTCACAGTGATTCTATTTTTGACCTTTGGCTTCTTAATATCTTTTCAAATTTTTTATAATATATTACTTTTATAATAAGAAATTTTGTCTAAAATATTATTTCCAGAAGACAAAAAAAAGCAACCTAAAAAAATATTGTTGCAGATACTTCTGTTCTCTACCTGTAACAAGCAGGCCTGAGAGTTCCCTGATGCTGATGTGGGGGTGGGGTAAGTGGGTGGGGTGGGTGGAGGTGTGTGGAGGTAGGGTAGCATGTAGAGCATCAGGAGCTCCCCAGACTGTCTTGGAAGACCTAGCAATCCCTGCAGACCCAGAGAACTGCCCAGGCAGTCAGTTCTGAGGTTCCATGCCCCACCCTGCAGCCCTGAATGCCTGAAGTCCTTTCTCGCTGAGGTCACTTGATCCGGGTGAGACCCACAGACAGGGCCAATGTTTAATTCTTGTGGCCTCTTGAGCAAACATTCTTTGTAAACCTGGGACTCCACGTACTTTAACATCACTGCATTCAGCAGAGAGTCACAATTCAGCCTCATGACTGTGGACTATGGAGGGTCAGCTCAGACTTCAACTTCTCCCCCCTCCCCCTCCCTCTTCCTCTCCCCCTTCCCTCCCTCATCTCTCTATCTCCCTTCTTCCCTAATCTCTCTAACTTCCTCCCTCCCCATCTCTTTTCCTCCCTCCCTTCCTCACTGTGTGTGTGTGTGTGTGTGTGTGTGTGTGTGTGTGTGTGTGTGTGTGTATGTATGTGTGTAAATTTTTTTTTTTTTTTTTGGTTTTTCGAGACAGGGTTTCTCTGTGTAGCTTTGTGCCTTTTCTGGATCTTGCTCTGTAGACCAGGGTGGCCTCGAACTCACAAAGATCCGCCTGCCTCTGCCTCCCGAGTGCTGGGATTAAAGGCGTACACCACCATCACCCGCCGTATGTTTGTAAATTATATAATCACTTTCTAGCTTCCTCAGCCTTCCTTCTCTGACTCCTGACTCTCTTCATTCTCTACCTAACTCTGTCCCTTTGGAATCCACACACAAATTTGCTCCATAAGGCTCAATCAGGGGTTTTTCCTCCAATGTCAGGAGACAACAGGCTGCTTGATTATTGCTACCCCTGTGGTTTTCTCTGGGGACTCATGTAGGAATTTAATACTCAAAGTTTTATGTTAGTATATTAAAAGAAGAGAAATTAATCCAACTATTGTGTTCAGAGTTATGGTCTTTGGGAAGTAGGTTAGGTCATTGATGGCTAAACATGGGTGGCTCTCTAAGGGAAAAGAGAAAGACCATGTGGTGCTCTGATGAGAATGACCTCCATAGGTTCATATGTTTGAATACTCAGTCATCAGTTGTTGGAACTGTTTGGGAAGGATTAGGAGGTGTGGACTTTTTGGAGGAGGTGTGTCACTGGGCGTGGGCTTTGAGGTTTTAAAAGCCCATGCTACTGCCATTCCCAATTAGCTCTCTCTGCCTCCTACTTGTGTAAGGCTGTAAGTTCTCAACTACTGCTCCAAGGCCATGCCTGCCTGCCTGCTGCTGAGCTCCCTACCGTGATGATCATAGACTCACCTTCTAAAACTGTAAGCTCCCTCAAAACTGTTTCTTCTATAAGTTACCTTGGTCGTGGTATTTTGTCACAGCAATTGAAAAGTAACTAAGACAGAGCACATAGATATATAGATGCACACATGTTCCCTCCATGATAGGATGCAAACTCGGAGACCCTCAGTAGAATTTGTATCACGATGCTAGGACCTGACACCCCCAATGCTTTGAGCCCAAATAAACTTTGTTTCTTTATGAAGTAGCTCCCTGAGTTGTGTTGTAGTAGTCAAAAGATGGGTACCTCTACAGCCACTTTCATCCTCATCACAATCATCATGACTATAGCCAGCATTTGTTGAGTTATATGCAGCATGCCTTCCAGCTTTTATACCCAACACACACACCCAGGCACCTGGGAGGCCCATGGATCCCTCCTTCTATTCTCGGGCACTCTGGGACTGATGAGTCACAGCCCAGATAGAAGTGGGGGACATGGTCAAATTCAGGAGGGTGAAGAAAACAGATAGTGAGAAGTGAGGCAGTGTAGAGGAACAAAAACCTCATGGTAGAAGGTTCATGTGATACATGCAGTCACCACTGCTTATTGTAAAATGCTTCTTAAGAAAGCCATGCCCAGCTCGGTATCACCTAAAGCCTCAGACAAAAGAGGAGGAAAGGGCTCAATTTACCTTGGGACCAACCAGCTCCTCAGGCTGATTGTAGCGTCCAAGGGGTGTCTTAGGCTGGCTTGGAGAACACAGTGCTCGATCCTTCAGGTTGCCCGGGTTACAGGGGCCTTCCACAGTCACCCTCAGCACACTAACCTGCGACTTAATTAGAAGCTGCCCTTTGGGATTCTGTGGAAAAGAAAAGACTTTTCTTTTTCTAAAACTAAAAGTGGTGTTTCTCTTTTTCTGAACATGAAGTTCACTGCCCACTTGAAAAAAATTCCAATATAGAGAAATTGGGAAAAAGACAACAAACAAATATTATCTGTTAACCTATGCAATGTGTCAGTTCTCCCTGTGTGTGTTCATATGTGCTTACAATTTTAAATGTCTGTAGCACTGACATCATGATGACAGCCTAGCACAGACTCAGTTTCTGGCCCTTAGATAACCTACAACTCTACTACTGAGCTACATGCCAGCCAGAAGTCCATACTTTTTGCTTTGATCTTGGTTTTAGGGGTTCTTGTTGTTGTTGTTTGTTTGTTTGTTTTCAAGACAGGCTTTCTCTGTATTAACAGCCCTGGCTGTCCTGGAACTCTCTTTGTAGACCAGGATGGCCTCGAACTCACAGAGATCTGCCTTCTGAGTGCTGGAATGCCACCACCAGCTGGCCAAAAGTTCATACTCTGTAGTTGATATATTATACACTCTAATAAACTTATCTGGGGGTCAGAGAACAGAACAGGCACTAGATTAAACATAGAGACCAGACAGTGGTGACACACGTCTTTAATCCTATCACTTGGGAAGCAGAGATCCGTCTGGATCTCTGTGAGTTTCCACACTGGAAACAGAGCCAGACAGTGGTGGCACACACCTTTAATCCCAGAACTTGAGATCTCATGTCTTTGCTTGGGAAAGACACATGCCTTTAATCCCAGGAAGTGATGGCAGGAAGCAGAAAGGTATATAAGGCGTGAGGAAACAGGAACTTCCTCTCTTGAGGCTGAGGACCAGGAACTAGAGCTTTTAAGCAGTTCAGCTAAGACCCTACTGGGTGAAGATTCAGAGGCTTTCAGTCTGAGGAAACAGGAACGCTTGCTCTCTGGAGGCTAAGGAGTTGGTGAGGTGAGATTGGCTGAGGCTTGTCCTATTTCTCTGATCTCTCAGTTTTCACCCCAATATCTGGCTCTGTTTTTTTTTAATTAGTAAGACCTTTTAAAATTTGTGTTACAATACTCTTAAGTCTAGTGTTCAGGATCATCCTCCTATGCTCTTAAACCACCTTTCTAGCTGTGTGCCTGGGAGGGCATTCACCCCCACTTGCCTTCTTTCAGTTCCCCATTCTTGACACAGCTTGCTGTCCCTCTGTTAGCAGGTAAGGGCTTCACCTCAGTCCTCACAACAATGAAGTCAGTCCAGCGATTCAGCTAAGACAAAACAGAGCTGACACTCAAAGAGAGTGGGAGGCAGGGTCTGAAGCATTTAACACATTGGGCTGGGCATTGTGGATTTTTAGGAAGTCTTAGAATTACTTATGAGGTGAGTGGTGTATTTATAGGGTAAGGTGGCCTCCTCCCTTCCCTACCACCTCTCAAGTAAGGGATAGACTGGATATGGCTACTGGAGAAATTCTTCCCATGATCCTTTGGAAAAGCCCACAAGGGAGGGGCTCAAAACCACAATGTAAATGTTATTATAAAGAAGCCAGAGGCTCTCTGAGGATGCAGATGTTCTGTGTTGCAATTGGGAAGTGCTTGGGCATCAGCCTCTGATACAGAACCTAGTTCAGCTTCAAGGTTGTTTAACCACAAAAGAGCATTGGAGTGTCAGGAGACACAAAGCTGCAGTCTCCTTGGTTACCTCCTACTATTTAACCCCTTCCTCCCCATCTTACATCAGGCAGTTTTGTCCCTCTTGTTTTAAGTAAGGATTGTAAGAACTCATGACCAGACAATGTGTATAGTCGACCCAGAAAAGTATGAGGCACGTCTTCAGTACTGTACAAGTGTTGGTGGTTGGTTTTATTGCTACAGATCTAATTGCTTTATAGTTGTCTAGACACCACCTGCCAGAACAGCACACAAGTGAGCTGCTACTTTGAGTGTGTATGGGTGAAGCGTCTTCACATATGATCCACTTAACTTCTTTCTTAACCCTGTGAACATTTTGCAATTATGATGCTATTTTACAGAGCAACATAACAGCATCTCAAAGAGCCTATTACTTGCTTGGTCAAGGACACCTCCCATGGCCTCTGCTTTCCCTCCCAAGGCAGAGGGCAGCAAGCCTCAGTAGGAAGGAACCATCTTTGTTAATGGACGTGACTCAGCATCAGCAACACCCTGACACACAGTGGATGTATGATGCAGAGATGCTGAATGAGTGAATGTGTGACAAGCATTCCACCCAAGGAGAAATGCTTCTGGAAGTCCCCAGAGCATAAGAGGGAGACTGGTGGACACCTGCTAGAACTGAGTTCTTGTTTTGTTCCTGCTCTGGCCACCAGGTTCCCTTCCTGGCCTCCCTACACTTGACAGTCTTCCCTCAAACACAACAGACTTGATAGCAAGAGACCCCAAGGACCTAATGAGGAAACTGTGGGGCTGTGATGGTGAAGCTGCTGAGAATGTGAAAATGCCTTCAGTTCTCAGGGAAGCCCTCAGAGGTTCTGGTAGAAGGGTACTCAATTGCATGCCTTCCTACCATCGTCTGACCCATGTACTGCAGGCTTGGTCCTCAGTCTATTGGCACCACTGAGACGTGGTGGAGCCTTCAAGGAGTACAGCCTAGTGGAGAGAGATGGGCTGTGTCCTTGAGGGGATATTCTGAGATCTTGACCTCTTTTCTCTTTTTGCTTCCTAGCTACCATGAGATGAGAAGTCTCTTCTACCGTGTGCTTTCATCAGAGTGTTCATCACTGGTTCCGAAGAGATGGTCCAGACAAACCGTGGATGGAAATCCCTGAAACCTTTTCTCCGATGTAAGCTGATTGCCTACAGCATTCTGTCCTAGTGACACTTCACTAACAAATACAGTCTTCCCTCAACACCATATATTGTTGTAGCTGCCGTAGCAAACAAATAAAATGATGAGTATTTCCACAGTGAAGTGTAGGATCGTGCCTGTGCTAAAGTGGCCCCTTTCTCAATTCCCATTAATGTCAAGATTTGCAGAGGGTGTGGAATGGATGTGAATGGACCAAGCATCACTTTGGAAAGTAGTCACGTTTCACTCCAAGGCAAGCTGAACTGGCTCCACTGATGGAGGCTATTCAAAATTCTTCAAGGCAGAAAGCAGAGCCCAGGAGAATGAGTCTTGGTTGAAGACTTTGCAGTTGCTGGAACTCGGTAAATAGGCTTGCTTTGAAAGCTAGATCTCAGACTTTCCCTTCTCAGGGGACTTTTGGCACCAAGGAAGGGGCAGACTGAAAGACGGCCAGTGAGGAACAATTGTTGAGACTGGGAAACTGCTTTTCAAGACCTGGTGAGGACTCTGGAGAGCCATATTAATAACCAGCAAGGCAGGTTGTAGAGTTTGAACTGTGCTAATTCCAACACAATCTCAGTGACTTGAAGCTGTTTTCTTGGTAAAACAAATGAGAAGCTATCCCAGTAGTAAGAAATAGGTATTGCTAAATTCTTGGTATTTTGTAGTTTGTTTGGTTTTTTCCTCAAAGATTCAAAATGCATCATTTTTCTAATGGATATTTATTCATGATTATGTGATTCTGTCCTTGAGAAATTTTGTCATGTGGCAGCTGCTAAAATTACCCAAATTCTCCAGGAGAATTGCTCATTTATTTTGGGGAAATGTATGTTGAAAAGCTGATCCAGTGTGTGTGATTTCCCCATACCAAAGCAGGGTGGCTTACTTTGGCTTCTTCCAACTTAACCTGCATGATTTTGCACATTTTAGAAAATGCAGCACATTAGTCCTACCTAGATGGTGTTTTAAAACTTAACAATTTAAGACTAATCTCACACTTACAAGCTTTAAAAGCACATTAAGCTTGTTTGGGTTTTGTGAAATACAAATTCACAAAAAATTGTAACTGAGGGAACACTATTTTTTTTTTTTACAATTGCTGTTACAAATGTAATTCAGGAGCAGAATGAGCAGGAAGCAGGTGGAGGGAGGTGGGGCTAACATCCACTAATGGGTAGTTAACCTAGCAATTAACATCTTTTTATGTAAGTAATGAAGATGGCCCAGGGAGCATCAGGATTCAGAGTGGAAGGCTCAGCTCAGACTAGCATCATGGGAGAAAAGCATTGCAAAAAAGTGATGGAGACTCGAGAGGTGTACGTAGCCAGAGGACAGAGCAGAATGAACAGGGTGTATGGGACACTAATGTATGCAAAGTTTTGTGTGCTCAGATGCTGAGTTTGTATGGAACATTTTTACATTAACAGATTTACTCAGACCAAATTTACTGCCTGTTTTGATTAGAAATTTTGGGAGGGTTATGTAGTGTTATGGTAGTATTATATCCAGGGACATGACACTGAATTTGGCCTGCCAGTCATCCCTTCTCCAATGGAATTGCCTAATAAAGTTGCTGTAGACTAATAAAATCATAGACTAGAATTCAGTTCTTAGTGTTGCAGTTTGGATTCTGAATGTCCCCCTAAAAGGCCCCTGTGGTAAGAGCTTGGACCTCAGGGTGACATGTTTAGAATATTGTAGACATTTTTAAGCAGTGAGGCCGAGTGGGAGGCCTTTAAGTTATAGGGGGACTGGTCTTGAGTGTGACTGTGGGACTCCAGCCTTTTCCCTATTCTCTTTTGCTTCCTGAACACAAATGAGGTGACCAGCTTTGTTCTGCAGTGTACTCCACGGTGCCCTGCCTTGCCGCAGGCACAAAACCATAAGACCAATCACTCATAGATGATGCCTTCCCAAAGAAACCTTTTCTTTCCAAAAGCTAATTATTCCAAGTATTTCACTATAGCGATAGGAAGCTATCACAATTATTTAATAGCTAGGTATTTTTAACTTTGCACTAGGGCCTATTCCTAGTTGAAGTGGCTAGGCCAGGGATGACATTATACTTATGATATGATACCCTTGTCCAGGTCTAAAGGAGATCTTGATCCTTAGAATTCTAATAGAATAGGTGCTCTTCTTAATAGAGGTGGCTGGTGAAAAGAAGAGAGTCAAGGCCCTTAACCAGGGGCAAGCTACTGAAATATCCTGTTTACATCCTTGAACATCCTCATGAAAAATCACTGTGATAGGTGCTGGGATCCCCCAAGCTGCAAAGCAGCTTATAATGCCATGTTGAGTGAAAAAACATAATCAACAGTGGAGTGTATAAGTCAATGGCCCATGTGGTGGTTTGAATAAGAATGGCCTCCATAGGCTCATATGTCTGAATGCTTCATTTGCGGTTGGTGGAACTGTTTTGGGAAGGATTAGGAGGTGTGGTCTTGTTGGAGAAGGTTCACTGGGGGTGAACTTTGGAGTTTCAAAGGACCATGCCAGGCAGGCTCAGGCTGTCTCTCTCTGTCTTTCTCTCTGTCTGTATCTCTCTGTCTCTGTCTCTGTTTATGTCTCTGTCTCTCTTTCTCTGCTTCAGGCCTGTGGATCTTTTGTAAATTCTCAGCTACTGCTTTAGTGCCATGCCTGCCTGCCTGCTGCCATGGTCCCCACCATCATGGCAATGGACTCTAACTATCTGGAACCATGAGCCCCAAATTAAATGCTTTCTTTTCTAAGCTGCCTTGGTCATGGTGCTTTGTCATGGCAATAAAAAAGTAACTAACACAACCACAACGATCAGAATCTACTCATTACTTGCTTTTGTTTGCCTGGAGGCTATGAGGTCAATTTCCTTTCATTATTTTAAAATTACATTTTTAATTAATTAATTGCGCGCTTGCACGCGCGTGTGTGTGTGTGTGTATGTGTGTGTGTGTGTGTGTGTGTGTGTGTGTGTGTGTGTGTGTGTTTGTGCATGTCACATGCTTGTGGAGGTCTGAGGACAATGTTTGGGAGTCTATTCTCTTTTTCTACCATGTGGGTTTTAGGGATTAAACTAAGGTCACCAGGCTTGGTGACAAGCACCTTTACTCAGTGAGGCATCCTTTTAGCCTGTAAATGGGTTTTACATCTTGAAATGATTGAAAAAAGTGTATAAAGAACACCAGTCTATGGTCTTTAAGAGTCCCTGAACACAGTTTGATTGGAATGTGGACACATTCCTTCCTTTTGCATCATTTAATAATGCTTTCTGCAGTGTGGATGAGACGCACAGAAACTGGGAAGCCATCGACACTGAAATTACTCATTTCCTGTCCAGAAAGTGGTTGCTGACCTGCAGCCTAAGGGAATGAGGAGCTTAGTCGACTGGGTCCCATTTCCTACATGAGGAAAGTAAGCAGAGTTCAGTGGAGGTGCAAGGGCTCCCTGCTGCTGCTGCTTTACCCCCAGCCAACACACAGGAAATTATGCTTCCTGTCAGCACCCTCAGCTAGGCTGCCATCACTGGGGCAAGTCAGGGAGCAGTGTCTCTAGGCTTGGGGATGCCCTTCCCCCACGCCCGATCCTCAGGAAATCCCCTTTAGTCCTTAAGTAAGATGAAATTGTGGTCAGTTGTATGTTTTCAGAAACAAACCTTATGACAGACAGTAAGTCCCCTGGGGGAGATAATGGAGGAGTGAGTCACTCAGAGCAGGAAGCCAGAGCAGTCCATGGTACCTTTATCACAAGGCAGCTGAACCTATTTCTGCTGCAGAGTTCTATGACAATGGAGCCCACACCTGACAGTTGCTGCTCCTGAGACAGGAAGAGCGTGAGAGAGATGGTCAGAAGACCAGCCACCAGACTGCTCATCTGACTCCAGAGCACAGATGAGGTAGACACACACACACAAAAACAGACTCTTCACAGGAGGTTTCCCACGAACCGATTATTAACAAGGAAGGTGGGTTCAAAAATACACCAGACTTGGTAATTTAAGGTACAGACAAAGAGCGCATAAAGGGGCCTTTTGGAATACATACAGATCACAGAGCACAGAGGTTTGGGCTTTCTACTGCAAATTATAGTGCCTGAGCAAATAACAAATGTCATTGCCTAATTGTACACTTCAGATTTTACATTCAGTCTTAGCAAGCAGTTTGCATGAAGTCGAGTGTTCTTAGAGAACTTGTTTCAAGCCATCGGTTCTAGGGGCACAAAAATTTGCATCCAGACCTGCCAGATTTGTTCCAATGCCATAATGTGTGTGTAACATGACTTGTAAGACATGTAACAGCAGAAAATCCTCTTGAACTTCAAAATCATTAACCATATTGGTGCTTTGGTTGAGTGTCACTTCCAATTACACGGACTGATAATTATGGTGGTTTAGATGAGAGACGTCCCCCATAGCTCAGGTATTCGGACACTTGCTCCACAGTTGGTGGCCCTGTTTGGGAAGTCAAACAGCCTTGGAAGAGGTGTCTGCATCACCTCTTCTCTGCTGTGCTCTGGACTGGGCCTCTTTTCTGCTGTGCTCTGGGGTGGCAGCAAAAGCTGGAATCCCGAGAGGAAGGCAGCAGCTGTCACTGTGTTGTGAATATCAGGAAGAGATCACACGCGATCCAGAGAGAATCTACTCTGCTGCAGGTCTCTGAACTCTCAACAGTGGGTGTTTACAAGCTTGCCAAGTGACAGGAAGCGAAAGCTGGTTTTCAATAGCCCGTTGTTATTGTATGGTATAAACAAATAGATTTGCTTAGATTACATCTGGTGATCTTCAATGTTATTTTTGGAAAGCTAAAATGCACATACAGTCAAAAGACAAAAACCATTGTAAAAACACATTTCATCTATCTCAGTTCCTTGTCTGTGACTGTAGAAGAATACCATGCTTGTAATCTCATCACTCAAATGGCTGAGGCAGGAGGATTGCTGTAAGTTACAAGTTAATTTTGGCTACCTAGCAAGTTCCAAAATAGCCTGTGCTACAGATTGAGACTCAGTCACAAATAAAAAAAGTAAAAAAAAAAAAAAAAACTAGCATACCAAAAGAATAATAAATTATGTGGCTCATGTCTCTGGTGGCTGGGAAAGTCGAGAACACAGTATCAGCTTCTGGTGGCGACTTCTGCTATGTCAGGACGTAGCAGAAGGGACAAATCAGTATATGCAGCAGAAGAGGAGTCAAGATCTCTCTTTCTTTCTCTTTTATCAGGAGTACACTGGACTGTAACTAACTCCCACAGTAACAACCTCTACTGACTCCCATGACATCACCGCACCCTAAAAGTCTCACCTCATATTCTTTAAATGGCAAGTAACTTTCAACATGAGTTGGGGAAGCCACAGCCAGCCTGGAGCCTCACTTTCATTACCTCTTCTGATATGTACCCTGGTTACCACTTGTTTAAAGATTCACACGGCCTATCTGGGGTTTCTTTGTGAAAATATAAGCAGATATGAACACACCTTTTGCTCTTCATCTTTTCCTACATAGAGAAGAAGGAATTTGGCACAAACCTCTGTACCTTTTATTTCTTCTTGTTAATGTATCTTAGAAGTTGCTCTGTGCTGACACGGAAATTTCTCACAATATTTATGTCAGGAGTCACCCAGCTGTAAAAACAAGAGCGGTTCTTTGTTGGAACCCTCTGTTGGCTATCAATAAACTGGACAACTTTACTGTGAGCAAGCAATCCCAAAGAGAAAAACTAAGTGGTGAGTTCAGTCACTGTTGAGGACTGTGCATCTGCTTCAGTCACTGTTGGTGGCCACATACCACTCAAGCTGACTAAGTCCATTTTTATGCAAGTCTGTGTGTGCTCTTGTGTGCACTTTGTAAATCCACCGGATTATTTTTATAAATCAGCACCCTGCCCCACAGAAGGTAGTTTCTTAATACAACAAAGACCAAGCTTTTCTGTGCGCAGTGGTCCGCCAATTCTTTTTCTCCACAGTGCTCAGTTACTCATGCTCAGGACCCATCACCCTTAAATATGATCATAGGAGACCAAAATATAATACCCCAAGTATAGTTTGCATATTTGGGGCTGGTTATTGTGAGAAACTGCAGATATAGTAGTAGTTCTGACAAGCTTGCCTTTTGTGAAGACAGATATCTGTAAAGGAAATGTACAAGGGTAAACTCTGTGTCAAGTAGAGGGCAATGTCCAGATCAACCTTTCTTTCTGGGAGACTTATTTGCAAGGCAGGCAATCAGGGCATACTTCCTCCTCTCTCCTAACATGCCTTGGGTAACTGCCACTTCCCCAGGAGCCTCAAGCCCCCATCTCTTTCTGTAATGAGTATGTGTTACATAAACTTTAACCATCTGCTCTTTATTCAAGTTACATATTTTTCTGGGACTTGTTAATCTGTTTTTGTCCATTTCACTTATAGTTCAGCCAATGAACCCATGGTGTGAAGGGAAGCTAGCTTACCATCATCATCTTCTGTGCGTTACTCTGGGCTCAAGGTTAAACACCAACCAGTTCCACTGGTTGTGATGATTAAATTGAAGCTCTTGAGGTCGTGGGATATCTGCAATAAAAAGAGCGGGTACAGGGACATGATTATACAACTTCCGGAATAAGGATGAGGGCAGCTGACAAGCGTCCAATGGACCAGAGTTATGATCAACTTTTAAGAGAGGAGATATGAGGGATTCAGGCTTAGCTAGTGGTTTTGAACCTACACTGGCACAGATAAAGGTTGTGGGATTATGTGACGTGAGCATGGGGTCCAAGAAGGTCAGGAAGGGAGGACAATCCCCTAGAATCATTTGCTGCTTCTGGATTAGTTGAGTTGTGAGCAGTCATGGTGCTTAGGGGCTCATGATGGGATTTGAAGTAAAGTTTTAACATACATTCAAGAATATGAAGGTTATTTTGTTCTCAGCCCATAATTTACTAACTTATTAACTCTCCACATCTCTCTTCTCTGCCTTCCAACCTTTGTAATTACACTTAGGCCATCTCAAATTGTTTTATTATTATTATTATTATTATTATTATTATTATTATTATTATTATTATTATCATCAGGACTTTAACTGAACAAGATCCCCTGTCTTTGAAAGAAGACAAAAGCTTACTCCTTCAGGAAGTTCTAATAATGTGTCTGTGCTTGCATGTATGTGGGTGGGTGCACACATGCATGGTACTGGGAATTTGAACCAGCACTTTGTAAATGCTAAGCAAGTGCTCTATCACTAGGCTATATATCCAGGACAAGAATTTAACTCTACAGAGCCAGGCGGATCTCTGTGAGTTCGAGGCCAGCCTGGACTACCAAGTGAGTTCCAGGAGAGGCGCAAAGCTACACAGAGAAACCCTGTCTCAAAAAACCAAAAAAAAAAAAAAAAAAAAAAAAAAAGAATTTAACTCTAACATGTGTATATCTGTATGTAAGCTTCTCTCTTCACACACACACACACACACATACACACACACACACACACACACACACACACACACACACACTTAGAAAAATAAGCATGAATGTGATTGTCTCAAGGTCCTTCAATTATGGTGGTTTTTACTCTGTTTTGTGTAATGTTGTGTATTTCCCCTTTTTCTTGTGGTTGTAGGGATTAGACCCAAGGCTTTGCATACAAGACAAGCTGCCATCACTGAGCTATAGCCTCAGCATTGTCTATCTATTTTTAAAAATGTATTTTATTACAAAATACTTAGTAGACAAAGACTGGATATACTTGAGGTGTGCGAAGTGCTGACTCAGCACACACTGTGAGTGATTATCAAAATGAAATCATCAGTGAGCCTACCAGCACCCATGTTGAACACACATTCATATCATAAGTCAAAGTCGGCTCCTTTTGACCAACATTTCCCAACTCCCCCATCCCCCAGCTCCTGATAGCCCCTATCCCACTCTCTACCTCTTTGACTTCAATGATTTTCAGATTCTCCAAGTAAGTGAGATCATAAAGTATTTGCCTGTCATATCTCACTTGCATAATGTCCTCTACATTATTTCGTGCTGGTAAAAACAGCAGTATTTCCTTTTTTTGCAGCTGAATAATGTTCCATTGTATACATGCACCTCAATTTCTCTAGTCCTTCATTCACTGATGTTCACCTCAATTGTGCTTCTTGACAATTGTGACTAATGCTGCAGGGATCATGGGTGTTATTTCCCATTATTTTGGAAAAGAGGTGCATTACATTGCTATATGGAATACCTGAAAATTAAAGCATTTGCAATAAACAAAAATTTGAAAACAGCAGCAATAATGTTTCTGTGGGTTTTATTTTTCATATTTTGAGACAAGTTCTTACGTGGTACAAGGTAGCCTTAAACTTACTATGTAGTTGAGGATGACCTTGAACTCCTGGTCTTCCTGTCTCTGCCTGCTGAGTGCTGAGGTTACAGGTGTGCACCACCATATCCTGTTTTATGTGGTACTAAGAATCAAACCCAGGGCTTTTTGCATGGTGGTCAGGCACTCTACCAATATCACTATATCCTCAACATTCCCTGACTTTTAGATTCTTAACTGTTTCTTTGTTCAGTGCTGGGGGTCAAATTTGGACCCTCAGGCTTTGCAGGCAAGTGCGCTAACACTGAGTCATATCCTAAGTCCTTATGCTCTTGTAATTAACGTACCTTAAATCAAGCTATGTCTTCTTTTCTGCATGATTTTTTAATAAGTAAAAGTTTGAACATTTTAAACTTCCTAATTCCTTCTAAGTTTTGTCCCCTTTCTTCTAACAACAAAATAGCATTTTTATTAAAATTCCAGAAAATTACTGCAAGAAAACTATAAGGGGTTAGTTGCTGGAAGTTATATTTAGGATGTAACTATAGCACAGCAAAAGACTGGGAATATTTGAAAACAAGATGATGATTAGATAAATAACCACACAGGATCATTCACAATGAAAAGTTCTACTTATGAGGGACATCTAGAGAGAAAGTACAACATTTATAATATTAACTTAGAATGCTAGGGCCTCAATTTCCAGAAATTACATTTTACACCAAAATATTAATATTACTATTATTTATTTCTGAGTGAAGTTACATAAATTTTCCTTCATATTATTATTTTTCCAGTTATGTATGAACCCAAAGTTGTTATTACAACTTGAAGAAAATTATCTGCAGAGCCTGTCCTTGCTTAAGAAGGTGTATCTTTTTAAAATACAAGTTTAAGTTTTACTTTGATTACTGACTACTTAATAAAAATAAGCAGGATTTTATAATTTATTATGTTGATAAAATTTTAGTCTCAGGAGAAAAAAAATAACCAAGATATCCTACCATAGATGATGGAAAAATAAGCTGTGGTATATCCAAACAATGCCAGAAAGAAATGCATTCTTCAGTCATAAAAAGTCAAAGGTGGGATGGGATAAGACAAAAGGGAGCCTTAAACGCATAGCTCTGAAACCTATCTATAAAGGCAGCCTGCTGGGGCTGGAGAGATGGCTCAGTAGTTAAAGAGTACTAGCTGCTCTTCCTGGGGGCTGGGCTGGAGTCCCAGCAACCCACATGGTGGCTCACAACTCACTGTAACTCCAGTACCAAGGGAATCTGACCCCCTCTGTAGCTAGAGTTTTCCTGCCTGGCCCACAGTCAGGACAAATCTCTCTCACCCACCAGTCCCACAGCCACTCAGACCCAACCAAGTAAACACAGAGACTTATATTGCTTACAAACTGTATGGCCGTGGCAGGCTTCTTGCTAACTGTTCTTACAGCTTAAATTAATCCATTTCCACAAATCTATACCTTGCCACGTGGCTCGTGGCTTACCGGCATCTTCATATGCTGTTTCTCATCATGGCGGCTGGCAGTGTCTCTCTGACTCAGCCTTCCACTTCCCAGTTTTATTCTCCTCCTTGTCCTGCCTATACTTCCTGCCTAGCCAATGGCCAATCAGTGTTTTATTTATTGACCAATCAGCAACACATTTGCCATACAGAACATCCCACAGCACTTCCCCCTTTTTTTTTTAAAAAAAAGGAAGGTTTTAACCTTAACAAAGTAAAATTACATATAATTTGGGAATTTGGGCATAGCTTCTCTTACACTGATTGGCCATTGGCTAGGCAGGAAGTGTAGGCGGGACAAGGAGGAGAATAAAGCTGGGAAGTGGAAGGCTGAGTCAGAGAGACACTGCCAGCCACCATCAGGACAAGGAAGATGTAAAGTACCGGTAAGTCACAAGCCACGTGGCAAGGTATAGATTAATAGAAATGGATTAATTTAAGCTGTAAGAACAGTTAGCAAGAAGCCTGCCACGGCCATACAGTTTGTAAGCAATATAAGTCTCTGTGTTTACTTGGTTGGGTCTGAGTGGCTGTGGGACTGGAGGGTGAGAGAGATTTGTCCTGACTGTGGGCCAGGCAGGAAAACTCTAGCTACACCCCTCTTCTGGCCTCCACGAGTATTAAGCATCTAAGCGGCCCACAGACATACATGTAGGCAAAATATTCATACACATGAGGGAAATCAAATAAAAAATTTAAAAAGGCAACCTATTGTACAACCTGAACTGTAATATTACAGAAAAGAGAAAATTATCAAGAAAAACAATGGTTCCCTGAGATTAGAGAGGGCAGCAAACCCATAGAATGTAGGGTGACAGGACGGAGCCTGAGTATAAACAGTAGACTTGGGGTGATTATAACGTATGCATGACAGCTCATTAACATATCCAGAGGTATGTTTCTTAGATAATTCTAATTTCAGATAAAGTGATAATGAATATTAATTAGTCTAGCAGGGGCTTGCATGGGTCAAGCTCACATGGGTGGGAGAAATGGGGGGCATGGGTGGAGCTCACATGGGTGGGGCCATGGGTGGAAGGATAAAGGAATGTGTAAGAATCCTATTTGCTGCTCATTTTTGCTGTGAATATAAAAACCTGCCTTAAAAGGAAGTTCATGGTTGAAATGAGAGTTTAAACACCAGTGACTTATATTTAGGGTCAAAGTCTTCAAATGGGTTCCATTTGGGACTTTCTCATGATGTTTATTTCATTTTTGTTTTGTTTTGTTTTGAATTTGCTTCGAAATGATACTAGGCTGAGAGTGCATTCATTGCTCCTCAGCTATTCCAGAATTCTCTAGCTAAGATATTTGACCTTCAACCTTTGGTGGTGAATGTAAGAATGGAAAGCATAAATATCCCCAGAAATGAAGTAAACATCTTATAAGAGAATCTGTTGAGAAAAACATTGGCACACATTGGTGTTCAAAGTGGGTTGTGTGTGCGTGTACAGAATGGCTAATGTGTAAACTTAGCGCATGTGCCATGAGGGGCCTACATTTGACATTGATGAGTCTGCTCTTTATGATATTCAGCATCAGAACACCCTTTTCTAGTGTCCATAACCTGATTTTCCTCCAGGGAATATTCCCTTTCCCACAATCCACTTGGGGCTCCACTTCCAAGGGCAGGCTATAAGATTTGCTCTTATTTAACATATCCATCACACTCTAGCCATTGACCAAATGATAGATGCAGAAATGGGCTGAAAGGTAATGCTAGGATTTTAGTTGTTAGAACGAA